TTAAAAGGAAAGAGATTTATTATCGAGAGAATGCCACTTTCGGCTTAAAATTAATAGCGAAACAAATATGGAAGATGTCGATCCACTTTAAGAAATTGCAAAAGAAATAAACTATAGAATAAAAAAAACAACGATGTATATTAAGCAATGAATCAAACAATCATCAATAACAAGTAAATATCTTAAAAGACACATCGTGACAATCTGGGTTTCTAGATCTCAATAATCAAACGATTTTTCAACACCTAATTAACGGTTCCAATATCGTCTTTACAAATATTTGTTAATTATTTAAATTGTCACTGTCACCAATTGACAGATCAGAAACTAAAAAAAGCAACTGCTCTCTTAATTATCTGTTGTCTGAAAAGTAATAAATAAACCGGGACAAAAACTTTCATGACGAAAGTATCTTTCGGTGGCTATTTTGAAAAAGCAAATAAATGTCAGAGATGAGCATTCCAAAAATACATTATTGAAACAGTAAAACACTGTTTTAATAGTTATAAATATCGTCGTATGTGTAAATCCAAATCATTACAAGATCTGTTGCATGTTGTATATAAGATGCGGATTTACAGAGGCGGATCTTAGATTAGGAAATAAAATTTATTACGAAATTATAAATGAGGATCTTATTTTTCGTTATTTAAAACTACAGAAACTACAGAGACATTATTTTAGTTTAGTATTATATTTAATGTTTAGCATTATATAATATCGCACTAGTCTACATTAGGGGAAGGGTGATCAAAGAGGCCATGCTAAGGAATATTTTCTTTATCTTGAAGAAATATAAATAAGAAATACACTATAAATTAACATACGATACCTATATACTTAGTTATATAAAGCAATTTTAATTTTCACTTTATCTCGGTAAATTTTTTAGAGACATATTGTTTACCATAACCCTACCAAATGGCCACTTTGTCCTACTGGCCATGGGGTGGTCACTTTGCCGATGTAAAATACAAAATTTAAACTGAATTTGTATATTAAATGAAAGTGTATTTTCAAAATTCAAACAATATTACCGTCGTAGAAAAGTTTCACACCGAGTTTTTTTACAAACGTCACAAATAAAGTCATTGTCTTCTTCTTCACACCCAGCACAAGCTTCAGGTGCCCATCGTTAACAGCCCAAACACTTTATCCATCCTTCATTTTCCCTTGACTTGGAATATAAGTCCCCGCAAAAAAGGCAATCAGTATAACTCACGTCACTGTTCGAGTTATTAAATAAAGCATGTTTCGCTGATTTTATTTCGTATTCTGCTTTCCTTTAAATTTTTCTTTGCTTCCTTCATTCCTCTTGTTCATGTTACTTCTCATGCTGATTAAATCACATGAAGTACTGAAATAAAGCAGTGGACTAGGCTGGAATGTTGAAGTACTTGGCTTTGGCGAATCTTTAGAGATTAGAACGAATATAGAGTTTGGATCTCCAGATCCTTTAGTGACATTTTGTCTGTGTTCATTGAAAAACATAGAAACTGAAGCGAAATATATCTCTCCAGAAGGCGGGTTCTCCTTACTTGCAAGTGGTGTCTCTTGACGTCGAGGAATATTTTCTTGTGAATCTGCCAAATCTTTTCCTGGCAACATAGCAGAAGTTTTCTCTTGGTGTTTAACACCCAGTTCTTGATTTTCAGCTTCTTGAAGAGAGATAGAATCTTGCACGGAAATTTCTGTGGCCATGGCTGCAGAAAAATCCGCGTTAGTAAACTTCTGTTTGTTTATAGGAACTATGCCACATTTTCCAAACCCCTTTACCGCAATAGTTGGTTAAGATGCCTGATATTGTGTCACTAATCTACCAGGGTTATTAAGTAAGAATCTGTAGATCGCTTGGACATAATAAGTATGGAAGGGCCCCATGAAAGAAACATCTTATGACTAGAGCTTATTATTACAGTTGGGGGGAATGCAAACGACATTTGTGTGATTTTCTCTAGCCCTTTCAATGAAATCTAGATTTTTTTCAAAGGATTTTCATTAAGTATGAGCAAAACTGGGTCGTCTTCGCATGGCTTCGCAAATTTCAAGATCAAGATTCATCATATGTCATTTCGCATCTGTCCTTTCCATTCCCATTTCCAACAGCTATATCTGGTCCTGTTATCTTCTTTTCAATACATTTTGAAAAGCCCATGGATTCGACATTCCGGGGATACAATCCGCAAGCTTTAAAACCGTTACTAATTGAAGAACTCCTTAGTGGCCTCAAGGAATCTTCCAATATTGGTTCAAAATAAGTTTTGGTCAATCCAATGAAGGGATTATTTCTTCGCCAATTCAGAAGTGATGTTTCCAAGCATTTTTCAGAGGTTTAAAGGTCCTAACATCTGCTGGTCGAAGGATTCTGGTAGCATTTGGATATAATGCAACGAGTATTATTTGAAGCCGTATACAAAGAATACTTAGTTCATAGCTCATGTGAGTTTTGTAACTATCCACAAAAAGAATGACGGGAAACTGTATTTCGTTTTTGCAAAGCTGGGGATGGAGTATATTTGAAATATAGTCTACAAATAATTCAGATTTCATCCAGCCATTGCCGCTTGTTTCTATTCCCCACGCATCAGGAACACTGTTATCAACAGTAGCAGGAAGCATCTTATAGGGGTAAATGATCATCGGAGGAGTTACTGAGCCAGCAGCTGACGTGAATATTACAGTAATATTGGCCTTTACTGTTCCATGATTCATCTGGTAAATATTTTTAGCACCGCGAGGAGCAACAACTTTATCCTCCGTAGGACAAAAGAGGAAACAAGTTTCGTCCCCGTTGGACACTTTTTTTGGATCTGGCAATATGTCATTAAAATAATTTTCGTGTGGAAAACCAGTTTTTATGTCCTTCTCAGAAACGCAGGTGCTTGCTTTATTTACCGCTTCTGGAGTTCTCAGGCTTAGTTTGGATGACGCTTAAAGAAGGCTTCATACCAGTGTCTTTCATGTTGGTTGTCTTTGAATGGAGTCCTACGTAGATTGGCGTCAAAGAAAGTTTTCACTGAAGACTGAATATCGTCCCTTCTTCTGGGAAAACCTTTCTTGTGGCAGGCAGTAATCCACTCCTCCAACACATCTTCCCCATGTTTTGTTAAGTACGTTGTAGGCCCGTAGCCAATTTTTTTGAATTTGTCACTCAGTCTATGTTGAAGGGTTTGTCTGGGAATTCCATATTTAATTGCTGCCAGTTTCTTCATTCGATTTCCTATGTCTGTTAAGGCACCCTGGAGGACTTCCTCAGTATATCTTACCATATATAATGTAATGTAATGTAGGTATTGGTATAAACCAATACCTACATTACCACAAAACAGGAATGCGCGAATGAAGAACAGTTTAATTGTTCGTAGATTAACATTTCTTTGGGGATATCTGTTGATAAAAAGAACTGCTGCTTCTTGTGCGTTTTATATGTTTCTTCTACCATCAAAGACATTTTAATTTTTCGCCACAAGGCTACAAATTTTATAATAAATTGTAAATTTTTATGACTGTCCCCGTCAAACATGTTTTGAATTAAAGATAAAAGTACTTTACCATTGTGCAAAATTCATATTGTATGACAAACATTGCTAACGACTGAAAAAATGTTATATCTTTATAACATTTTTTTACCGACACAATGAAAATTTGCCATCTTTTCTAAGATATATTCATTGAAAAGTGGATTCTTGACGTGCACTTCCAAAAGGCGAATTACGGTTTGTAAAATTACCTTTCATAACGATGAGAATCCATCCCCTCAGGTTTAGCCGCTTTGTGCCGTGTTTTATATACATTGGGGATGTTGCTCTAACGTGGTGGTCTTTCAGAAACCTGCATAATTTTCGAATATATTCAACAGCTTCCTGCCATGACGGCGGAAAGTCTTCGCTTCGCTAAAATTGTCGCGCTAATGGCAGAACCGGACGGGCACAATTTTTTTTTCAAAAAATATAAACAAGAGTTTTTTATGGTTCTGAAATTGCTGAAAAGAAAATATCACTATTAATAAATTAATAATATATTACAAGAATACATCATTTGGGTTCTAAAATCACATACTTATAACATTAGAGTTTGTTGTTAATGTTGGGAGTAATCTAAATGTAAGACCAAATACTTACCATGTCAGAATAGTAGGTGTCATGAGTTTTTTTTCAGGTTTTTTCCCATGACTTACCTACTATGGGATCACTAACAGAAGAATTTTACTATCATCATTGCATGTGTTTGCAAAATAGTTCAATTTTTGGGAGAAAGTGTCCAAGCTCCACCGAAAAAGCAACGTACGGGACGTGGACGGTGTCAAAAGTGTTCCAGAAAATCTGACCGGAAAACTAAACAAACGTGCGATCAATGCCAAAATTTTTATTGTTTAGATCACCTTCATCGCATTTGCCACGAATGTACCCAGTTCCGGGACTCCTAACTTTTTTCAAACTTGGATATCCAATGTTCAGCTTTTTTATATTTTTATTTGAATCTTTTGAAAAAACTTTTTTGGACAATCTCTTATTTTGAATCATTATCTTTTGTTTGTGAATTTTTTATGTATCTAGTGTTTTTTGTTGGTAGGAATTTTATTATTTTGTAAATTTTACCTAATCCGGTCAAATTTAATCCAGTGGTAAAAACTGCTGTTATTTATGAAAACTTAGATAGTCAAATAAGATATTTAAAAAATAAATTCGTGTTACATTTTTCACCTGGATGAACGCCGGGTTAATATAATTTAAACATTTTATTGGATTTCGCGCACAGATTTAAATTCTAAATTTCAATTTTTATGATAAATGTGTCAAAAACAATAAAACGTTTTTAAAAAAAATTAAAAGATAAATTCGCTTTATAATTTGAAGAAATGCGACTCGTTTGAATAAAATACAATTATCTTTGAGAATATAGGTAAATCGGAAATCGAATTCAGGATTCAGCTAAATCTAGTACAAAATAACTCCTTATTTTTATATGGTTTTGTATTGATTTATCTAATTTTGTTACAGGTTGTGACATGGGTACCAGCACATCCAGCCTGGATTGCCTAAACCTCATCGTACAAAGTATTACCAATAAAAGCAAACACGAAAACAGCGATCGTGGTACTTAACCACCTTCAATTTGTTAATTTTAGTAATTGTTGCTATCATAATATATAGTTATTTATAAATAAACTTTAAGAATATTATGGATTTTTATTGTTCTGATGATTCATAGGTACCACAAGAGGAATTCATGAAATTAACGAATAGAGGGGACAGCACATGAAGAAGAAATTTTGATTTAATTAATTAAAAATAATAATGTCGACGATAGCATTAAAAATTCATTAAGTTTCTAGATATAACTGTCTCCTACTTGCTAGAGACCAGTATAAAAACGCTATTCGTCTCTCAGGATTTTACAGTTTATTTATTAAATTATTTACAACCAATTTCACTTACAATGGAAATCTTTACTTTTTATGACTTATATTTACTGTAAATATGTTTGCCTATCTTTCAGGACCAAAATATAAGTAAAACAATAATTTTTATATAGATATGTCAATAAATCTGCACGACATATTCTGTTAACGATATATATAAAACTATATTAGATACTATATAATGCATCCATTTATCTACAATTTAAATAGAAATGTAAGAATAGTAAAAATTATATACACAACTGTTAGTAATTTCAATTTTCGTCGTGTACCTTTTGTCGAATAGCACCACGCCCCTGTGTTTACAATCCAGGTTGATTTGTCATCGCAACTGTCACTGAGGTAAATACTACAATGAATAACTTTTAATTACACTCAATTAAGCAATTTCATAAAGTTTTTAGGTATTAACTGAACACTGTTTTATATGCAAGTTTTAAAACACCACATTTTTCAAAATGGATTACGGGAAGAAATCACCTACTAGGGGCACACCTTCTGTGTATTCACACACAACTTCCAGAAGTAATGCTAATCTACACAGATCTTCTAGGAGTTTAAAATCTTTAAAGATACCTTGGTACCAAAAGCCCCTTGTACAAGATGCCATATTTTTAGATGTTCAACGTGCTTCCTTAATTGCAGCTATATTTTCATTGGTATGTTTTGAATAGCCTACTACATAGAAAAACTATAATATTCTTATTTCTATGTAATTATTGGAATGTTGTAGTGTTTAAAGAGAGTAAAATATTTGTTTTATTGCAGTTGCTGTCGATTTTTACTATAATAACTGCATGTTTTGATCTATATTGTTATGCTATGGCTGCCCCAGGTTCTACACACTATGGATACTATGTTATATCTTTCCAATTTGTATATGTAGGAAGTAGACACGGTAAGCAATGTGTACTTAAACATGAACTGTTTTCTTCATTACCATTAATTTTTAGTAAGAAACACACTAGTGATGTTTGCTGGTTTTTCCATTTTACTTTCAATGGCTGTCTTTGTTACTAGCATTATGTTGATCAATGCTCTAAGAAAGGTAATGTAGTTATGTCATACATCTAACGTTTTAAATATAAATCCTTACTGTACATTTTAGGAATATGAAAAAAGAATGCAACCATGGATATATACTTTTGCAGCCTTTACCATATTCCGATTTCTTGCATTCCTCTTCTTCTCCATAGTAAATGATATGATTTTTGCTTACAACATTATAATGTGCCTTTTGTGGATCATATTTCTTGTGCTAAGCGCATATGGATGGGTTTTAGTATATTCTTTGTATATTGAGCTCTCTGAGTTGACCAGGTTAGAAGATTTGGCTCATTTAAGGGTAAGTTGAAGTATTAAGAGTAATTACATTATTATTGAATATTTAAGTTACTTGTATGTGCAAAAAAAAACAGAATATACAAATGTATTATAAGCAATAAAATGTTTAACAATAAAGAAGGGAGGGATATTAATATATGTTATTCAGAGAAGGATTATATATCAAAGGAGACACTGAGTTTTGGCAGTCACAGATGTGGTTGTGTTGGGGAGAAAACAGACCATATTAGTGCAAGGCTAGCAAACATGAAGAATAATATACAATAAAGGAATGATACAATCAACCAACCATAATAATAGTGATAAATCACAGAGACTTCTGTGGCAAGGCAATTTAAAAGGATGTACAAAACGGGTCCTAAACTACTCTAGCGTTTTTAAATAAACCAAGCGGTTCGAATTTATATAAATATATTTATTCATAAGTTTATAGTACAGTAGTATCTCAACAACTCCCTTTAACACCTAGAAGGTATGCTTATATATAAAAGTCACTATATTCTAGAACATTCTGGGGTAGCCTACCTCAAATTTGCCTATTTGATGGGTTGATCTCTCTCACACTAGATACATCGCCGGAAAATTCTAGTCACTTTTGAGATGCAACCGTTATAAGGGCACAATGAATGCATGTTCGTAACACTATAGTATAGCCTCAAAGAAGGGAAAAGAAGACAGAAATAAGTGGAAACAACAAATCAAAAATGATATGCAAGGAACAGGGCTAAAAAGTTGGAAAGGAATATTAATAACAAAAAGGAGTGGAGAAAAATCACATAGCAAGTCATGGAAAAGCTCAGCACATAAAGAAAAAGAAGAAAAGAAGGAACACATTCTTTAAGGCTTTGAGTGCTATTGTAATATAAAAACTTGAAGAGGTAGATGGTGTTGCATAAAGCTTAAACATGAAATTTGAAGAAAAAAATATATGGATGCACAAAAGCACAAAAACCTGGAAGAGATACAGAGGTATCAGGATGGGGTACTAAGAGGATAGATTAACTTGAAAATCAAGTCAAGTGCTCAATAATTTCAATACCACAAGCAAAATAAGTGAACAATACTAAAGGAGTAAAAATAAGTTTGAGTTAAGAAATGTATGAGAAACAACACAAAGGTATTAATAGAGATAAATGACTATAGAAGAGATTTGAATAAACTTTTAATGTGCAAAATTATCTGTTGACAATATTTGTTTGATATTATTCCTATACAATGTTTTAAACACATATCAAAATTTTGTCTTAAAACAATTTAAAAAAGCTTCAAAATGACATATTCTGAAAGTTATATTTTATCTGATAGTATTTACTTTAGAACAATTCCCTCTTCCCTGAGAACAATTCCTGCATTTGTCCTTAATCTCTGCTTGTATTCTTTTAAGATATCTCATGGTGATAACCAGTGAGATTGACACATTTGAAGTAAAATTTAGGAAGTAGTACCTTTCTATTTTTTTAAACCCATGCATTAATATCGAAACTTCTTCTATACAGGTAATTTTATGAACAATTACAAAATGATATTAGTGATAGTTATTTCGTCTTGGGATATAGGATTTTTCCAGTCACAGACAATGATTTTTGGCTCTCCTTCGACCAGCTCTAGGCCGAAGAATTTTGTGGCTGATCCTCTTTTAGCAACTTCAGAACTCATACCAGTGTGCCAAAACGAAACAGCTCACTGTCATATAACTACATTAATAGACAATAAGTGGGGACCTAGAATAGCAAGCTTGTCTGTCTTACTCCTACATGGCCTGCTAAATCTCCAGTATGGAACCATAGATAGCAATGTTATCAGCCTGTCAAATATAATATACTATGAGGAAATACAGATGAAAATGGTGCAGAGTTCTTTGGAACAAATGGATAATCCCTAAAATGAAGAAGATTATGGGATTGAGAATGCAGATACCTCACAGAAAATGTAAATCTCTTGAGAAAGATATGAATTGAAATACATAGTAGGATAATGATTAGAAATTTAGAAAGATTATAGATAACAATTGTGTAGTCTGCATTTTTCTTCTGCTTAATACCAAGAATTGTTGTTGAATAGTGTGCCCCTTAATATAAACAAAAAATCATTGTAATATTTTTGTTACAAGCTGACTTTTGATAAGCAAAAAGGTAAGATGTTCTGCCTTTTGTGTTAATTGGTCATAATCATACATATTATTTTATTTGTACATTTTTATTAAGTACGCATGCCTTGTATTTATATTGTTTCTGGACTATCTGGATCAGAAACATTACTTTTTACCATGTAGCCTACCTACCTGCATTACACCATATTATAATAATTATAGTATACTCCGTTTGAAAATTGATAGCAAAGTTTTTTATGCGAAGTTTGTCAGTGTTATCATGTTACTTCTATAAATTCTTATACAAAAATAGGCTAAGAAGGAATCTATATTGATAATTTTTCGCTTTTGAGCAGCCCGGTATAAAGACCTAAAAACTGTGCTGTCATACATTTTCAAATCGATTATAGATATCAGTAATTTGACAGTTTTTTAGAAACTGCATTATAGTTTTTGTGGCTCATTTAGTTAAAGAAATTAGTAGCGACATGTAACCACCCCATTCGACTTAGTTGAGATAAAATTATATACATTTTACAGATGGGCACCATGCAGTCCCTAAACACATCGACAGCCCCGTCTCTGGCGGGCTCTCGCCCAACGACCCCACACAGTACAGTTTCGACGATGCCTGTTTAGAAGAAATACCGCTGGACACCACGCCCGCTTATTGGCCGCAAAGGTCCAAACCGCCCGTCGTCTCTACGATATATTAGACTATTATCTCATCTGTGTTGATCTAAAATGTTTAAAAGTGGTGGCAAAATTTATTTTTTAAGCTTTAGTAATCGATGTATCGTTATTCGGGCACAGAATAAGAAATGATCAGGAAATTTATAGGTACGAGCAACTGATTCGCGCAGACAGCTTACGTCATTCTTTAGCCAGCTCTATAGCGTCGTGGTATAGTTGATTTTTATAATAAAACACTGACGTATCAATGGAGAATTCATTAATTTACCTAAACGAATGATTTAACACATAATGTTACCTGTTTAACATATAGGGGATAAATATATTCTCGTTAGTCATCTGTCAAATTCACTTTGGACATTGTAGCTAGTAGTGTGACGTCAGTTCCGTCGTTTATTAGCTGCATATAAGTTTATTATATCGATTTGAAGTAATGTTGAGTGTAATTCAGTATTAACAAAAACATAATTTAGAAGACACGTCATCAAAATTTACTAATTGAGGCGGTAGCTAGAAGAAGGGCCTATCTGCTAAAAGGGTATATTGCACAAGCATTAAAAGATTTAATATCCATGCCTAAGGCGAACCAACACTTGCATTGTTTAAGTGTTTTAATTTTAAGAATATTCGATCCATTGATAAAATAATGGAGAACACCTTTATAAAACATGCCTTTTTTTCTTTTTTTCTGGAGAACACATTTGGCAGATTAAAATGTCTTCTGCAGAAGAAAGACCTATAACTGTTTACTGTTGTATAGTATACTTCTTCCTCTGCCGTACCCATTAACGGAGGTTGGTGACCACATTTCTAAAAGTTTCTCTGTCTAAAAGATACATATATGTGGTTGAGAATTCGTGTGAGTCTCTTTATATTACCGTCATCTAAGGCTTTTAACAGTTGAACTGGAATTTGATCAGGACCCGGTGCTTTTCCTTGTTTTGCATTCTGTAGGACAAGCTTTCCATAGCATAGCATGCTATGGATGCGAGACATGGGTTTTGACAGAAAGCACTAAACGAAGATTAGAGGTTTTCGAGAGAAAAATCCTAAGGAAGATCTTTGGACCCATCACTCAAAATGGGATGTGGAGATCTAGATATAACCATGAACTCTACCAACTGTTCAAAGAAGCACCTATTGCAGAGTTCGCTAGAGTACAAAGGCTTCGATGGGCTGGTCATGTGGTACGGATGGATGCCGACAGATTGCCGAGAAAGGCCTTGGATGGTAAAATGCAGGGCAGAAGACCAAAGGGAAGACCACGTAATAGATGGGAGAACGAAGTCACAGCAGTATGCGCACAACTTATTGAACGTCAGGGCTTGGAGACGAGTGGCGCGGGATCGCCTTGTTGGAGGCAGAAGTTACAGGAGGCCAAGGCTCAATTTGGACTGTAGCGCCATTGGAAGAAGAAGAAGAAGAAGGACAAGCCTTTACTTCTGAGGGTAAAATTTGTAGGTATTGTTCTTCTTCACCTATATCTTATTCATTTTCCCTCTCGTCAGGGAACAGATGGATTATATATTGTTCCCATACTTTCCTTTATTTTGCTCTCTTCAGTAAGTATTCCTCCATTATTAACTCTTGTTATGAGTGTTGTTCTTTGTTGCCTATAAGTTCTTTCATTTTTTTATAGTAAGTTTGAGGTATCATGTTTGTTGTTGAGTTCTTCCAGTTCCTGGCATTCCTTGTTCATCCATTCCTCCTTAGCCGTTAGATTTAATCAACACGGCATTCATCATTCCGGTTCTTTTTTAATTGATTTTACACTCACGACAAAAGTCACATGTATCAGTCTTCGGTTTTTTGAACGTAAAATTAGTTTCTCTGAAAAACTTGAAATAGGTCATCTGTTTCATGGTAAGATTATCCCAGTAGTGTCTTTAAACAGCTTTTGAAACTGCTCAAAATGTTCTTAATCGTTAGGTCTGGGTTTTCGAAGTACAATCTGCTGTTTTTCCAGGTGTGTAATGACTTAGTTTATGTGGAATAAATTTTAAATGTTCTAAAGCCGCAGAATAAACATCATCTGAAATTTTTTCTTTAGTTTCCGTGTTTTTCACGTTTTTTATTAGGTGGAGTTTTCTCAACAATTTTTTTTGTAATATTCTTAAATGCTTCACTCCTACTTGATATAAGTCAACAAAAAGGACCGGCACACGGGCACGTCACAACCAGAGGTTTTAAGCTTGTATTTCCAGTGATACTGTCTGCTAATTTTGGAATTTTCTATGTTTCTATACCTTTGTGGAGGATCCCTTAAAACCATACAACTTGCTAGAAGAGCGTCTTTTTCTTTTTTGGAACCATTATCATAAAAAGAGTCAACAAACGCTTTTGATCTTGCGAAGTTACTTTTGCAAAAACATTTTTCTACAAAACACTTAAGACAACAGAAAATATCTTATTCTGTACAGTTTTTCCCGTAAATAGATGTTTCTTTCTCTTAGATTTTATCACGTTTTCTTTCCAATGGACTTTCTAAACAATTTTCTTTTTTGGCATATTTTGACGCCGCGTTATTTAAAATAGCTTTAAGACTAGCCATCGCTTTAAAATACACTTAAACTTACAGTTTAAATATAACATAACCTCAATCACATTGTCAGAAATTCACCAAAACAGAGTTGATTTAGAGGCACAAATGTTTCTCAGCTGTGCCAACACTTCACTAAAAAAGTGTTGTACCAACGTAAAAAACTGTAATATCGTAGAAAAAATTGATAGACTGACAGAATAACATAAAGAGTTTCACTGTGTTCTCCGGAAGAAGGGCCCATAGGTATATAGGCCCTTATTGTAGCCACCGCCTCAATTTTTAATAAAAATTGGCATATTCCTTTTTCTTTATTAAAAAAATTTCCCCACTGAAAAAGACGCTTAATATTAAACAAGGAATGACGGTACCAGAGAGAAATATGCATTAAAAAATATGTTGAAAAGATATATGAGAAATGGAAGCTGTGCTACCAATCCTAGCACAACTGACATTGTATCCTTATTATATTTATTTCTATAGTACTTTTAGAGTTTTAATCCCAAGTTAGACAACAAAACTCAACAATTTTTGTTATTATTTCTACAAATTTATAAAAAAAATAGGTAATATAATTATTATATTAGTACGCATAAATTTAAGTAAAATGAGGTAATATGATTAATATATCGTTGAGACTAAGGAATATATTAAAAATAAGAGAACAAGGTAACAAGTTCTCGGCATAGTAATGAAAAAATTAGTTTGAGTTTTGATAATTTATGAAAATATTATTCACAATATCCAAGAACCGGTGTTTGTATCTCTTCAGTTGGACAAAAATGTTTTTAAGTCACAAGTTTTTCTGATTTAGGTATAAATAAAAGTCAGACAGAGTCAAATCTGGCGCATACGATAGATAGTCTTAGAATTAATACTTTAAAACTTTTAGTTTTCGAAACTAGGATATTTTTATCTAGTTTATTGATTGTTTGATCCTTTGACTGGCAAGTAATTAGAAGAATAAATCTAAAAAAGGTACTTTTGATGCAGTGATATCGGTTTCTATCAAATACTTGGAGAATGTGTACTCTAGATCGATCACTTGTCGTCATATTCACGATATTTTTCTCAGTACTTGCTATTTTTGGTCATATTTAATGTAGATCATCTCAAATTGATGTTTAAACATATTTAAACCGTGCTGATCCACTTTCTTTTATTGCTGCCAATGAAACTATAAACCAACTTTGAGAGAAGTTTATTTGGTGATAAAGTTGTAATTCCCTTTTTACGCCCGCCATCTTTGGGCTTTGCCAGGAACTTTTTACCTTGAAGATTCTGAGCCAAACTCATTAATTTTTTAAAGCATATCATATTTTATACTGCTGTATATTATATTTTATAACTCTACTATTAATATTCATATGTTTAAATGATTAATGAGTTTGACGATGACATTTTTGTATAAACATTTATTCTGGTAGCTTCTCTGTTTTTGATAGAGTGAGTTCACCGTTTTATATATTTTTTTACAATTTGCTATTATTTTTAAGGTAGTTATAGTATAGATAATGTACTGACTCGAATAGTAAAGAACTATTTGATTTGTTACAACAAATAAGTTTGTCTTAGAGGAACATAAAACGTTTTGTATATTATTCAGTATTCTTTAAAATATTTAAATATCAGGAAGAATGGTATAGGGAATATTGTGATTTTTACTAAAATAGCTGTACCGTCATTAGAACAAAATTCATGTAAATTAACTGCTAAGAAATTTTCCTTTCCGTTTCCTTTTTCACCTCTAAAGGCATATGCTAATAGCTCCATATCAAGTCATTATTAAAAATTGATTTCACAGTTACCCCAATCTTATGGCATCTCTATCTTAACTTTCCTGTGCATTTTAGTCATGACAGTCATAGACATTGGATATTGACAACAATAATTTAAGTGTATTTGTAAGAAATAACTCATAGTACATTCTGTCGTTCCCGGAATTCCCATTTAAAGAACGTTTTTTAAGACTTATCCACATAAAAGCATCAAGTAGCATATATGGACCTTTTGCTAGCTTCCTTTAGTATCCAACACTTGTATAAGAGTAAGGGGGACATAGTGGCAGCCTAAGCATTTTGGTTTATTTATACTGCTATATAGCTTTAAAAATTATAATGTTAACGTAAATAAAACTTCAAACCTTAGTACTTCAAATTCTATTTACGAAAAATTTTTAAACAGAACAAAAAAAAAATAAAACGGTTTTTCATACTTCGGCTGGTGACCATATTTACCCGCTGTAAAAGTGCCCATTGCCACTATTACCCCCATTTAAAAAATAATTCAATGCAGAAATCGCAAATATAAATTTTGTCTTTGAAACTGAAACTCTTTGTGTGCCCATTGGCCGCAAATGCGGCATTTATTCCAGAGTTCTCTGTTTTTACCTAATTCGCCACAAATTGTGCAAATATCTTCGTTAACGTCCCTATCACGGTCATCGTCATCATCAAATGTAAATATTTGATGGCTACCATTACCCCAGCGGTTCCCCCCTTTCCCTTAAATAATGCCAATAAAAAAAGCAAGTGTTTGGTCACCTAATTCATTGATTTTCCAAATTTTCGTCAATCACAACTTTATTGCACCTTTATTTACCATGTATCCAATGGTATTCATAGGGTTGTAAGTTGTAATCAGCTGATTTGTTACAAAGCTATCAACTTATGCCCTTGGCCATCAAAAAGAACTAAAAATCTTATAGCATTTAAATAGATTTACATGGAATTTGTTCTGATATTGGTATATATTAATGTTATCATTTCCATTTATTTAATGCAAATTATTTAGAGCGTCACAAAAATGTTTGAAGTACAAAGTATTATTATATGTATAGTATGGCAACCATGTACGCTTCAGACCTACCAACACAAGTGTACAACACCTTAGATATAATGTCTGTCGTCACAGTTGTCTCTAACGTGGTACAATGTTGTACTTTTTTAGATCTACAGCACATCCTTAATTATTTGTGTCGCATCAATACTAGATCTATATAAACTGAGTTAATCTGACACTCATATTTTCTCATTAACATACATTCCAATTTTTATATATGTATATGTAGCTCTCTGTTATGAATTAGGTCAGTTGGAAGGTGTAACTACTACTTAATAAGAATCTCAAATACATTCTAGATGAAAAACACTTAAGTATTGAAATTAAGCTTCTTGACAATCGTACTGAAACATGTAATCGATTTTATTTTTGAAACATAACTAAAAAGATAGTATTCGTTGATGGAGGAGGCAGAATCTATTTTTGATTACATGCCTTAGCAGTGCCTATGCTGTTTTTTTATTTGACAAACGTATTTTGTTATTGGCGTTATATTTTATATTGATAAAAAGTATTTTTATGTAACTGCAATGCTTAACCGTCCATTTTTAAATGTTTTTAGTATTGTTTTTATTGTATAATAAAAGTTATTTGATAAATTGTGTTTTTATATCATGATTATTGCTCTTCCCTTGTTAACACATTCTATGAACTAAGATTGCTGTTTGAAAATAAGTCGAGAAGGTTTTTATTGGCTAGAAGAGAGGTTATCAGTGGTTGACGCGGCACCCTGGGATGCCTCAAGCATTTGCCAAGGGCAACGTGGAACATTTTCGAAAAGTCGAATAACTCGGCTGCTGCGCCACTGTCAAATCGAAACATGTTGACTATTTGTACTTGTGTATTCTCGATGGCGACCGAGAAACAAACAGCTGAGTTCTACCAACGCGACCTGCATTCATTCCATAGTTTGATTTTTGCAGCCGATAAGAGAGTTTTGTAAAAATTAGAGTTAGATTTTAAAGTGGAAGTTTTATATATAACTGCAGAAGAAAATGACAACGTAAGTAATTATATTCATTGGAATTAATACATATATTATGTACTTTTGTGGCTATATTTGCCATAAAATATGTCTTGCACTATTACAGTTGGAAAATACCTTTCATTGTTGGCAATGTTTTGCTCTCTTTTATTTGGGACATTTTTTCATTCCAGAATAATGGAATTGGCTGAAATCTGGGTCTTTGAAAAGGAAATGTAGTGAAGTCACTGAATCAGCCGATTCAGTGACAACCAGCAAAGATGGAGAAGATGCAAATGTCCACGAGATCCATTCAAGTTCAACTCATCCAAGTTGCTCCCTCAATTAGTGGGAGGAGGTTCCTTGCCATAAAGACATTCGGGGAAAAATAAGAAGGTATGATCCTAGCTATGTCACGTTATATGGCTTTATTCAAGTTTGCAACGAACAGGCACCAGAAGGCCAATGCGTTAATTGTCAAAAAATTGTTTCCATCTAAATTAAAATGCATTTGGAAAGTAATCATCCTGCTTTATCAGAAGAAACCTTCAAATGTCATGCTTCATCTCTTCAGGCAGGGTCATGCATGATGGAAAGGGTCTGCAAAAGCTGGAAAACTCCATACCATTGCCAAGGAATTGATTAAACCTTGCGTGAAGGATGTCGTGCAATGCATGTTAGGTCCAGATATGGCCAAGAAGATTGATAATGTGCAGATGTCAAACAGCACTATAAGCAAGAGAATTCACACTATTTCAGACTTTGTAGAGAGAGCTTATAAATAGATTAAACTTGTGAATTCTTCACTTTACAGCTTGCTAAAAGTACCGACGTTGCTGGAATTGCTGGTTTGCTTGTATTTGTGAGGTTTCCATGCGGGATGAAAATAGAAGAACTCCTTATGTGTGAAGAGCTTAAAAGTTATGCCACTGGTGAACAAATTTTCAAGGCTATCCACAAGTGTATAACAAAAAATGATATAGAGTGGAGTAAATGTGTGGATATTTGCAGTAATGGAGCGGCTGCAATGGTTGGTAAAATTAGAGGGGCGGTTTCTAGAATAAAGGTAGTGGCATAAAATGCCTCCAGCAGTCATTGTATCTTACATCACCATTCTTTGGAAACTAAAAAGATGCCGCAAGATTTGAAAGACATATTGGATGGTTCTGTGAAAATAATTAACCATGTGAAGAGACGTCCGCTTCAAGCACTCCTTTTAAAGCTCACCGCTGAAAATATGAGTATGAAACACTTCAATCTTTTGCTCCACATAGAGGTCCGGTGGCTATCGAAGGGAAAAATGTTGAAAGATCTCAATTGGCTGCTAAAATTGCGATACTTTTCAGACATCTTCGAAATAATAAATAAAACCACCATTTCGCTTCAAAGCAAAGAAGGAGCACAATTAGATAAAATGAAAGCCTTGCGTAAAAAAGTTACATTTTTCAAAGCATGTGTTGAAAAGAGGAACCTCACAAGTTTGTCTCATTTTTTGCCCATTTGCAAGGTTTGGAAGAAAGTATTGTAAATTATTTTCCTGACATTGACTCGGATGACTTATATAGCAGGATGATCGACCTGTTTTCGTGTGACACAAAAAATAAACCTGTGAGAATGACAAATAAAGTTTTTCAAAATCTACTTGAGATCAGTAGAGGGTGAAGCAAGCCAAGAATAGTTCAGGATGCAGATATATTCAGAAAATAATGTTGGCAAGACTGCAGTGAAAAAACTTGTGTTTCACATCAACTTATCTCTGTAAGTCTTCTTTCTCCGCATATGCTTACATTAAAAACAAATACAGAAGCAAACTTCAAGCATCAAGGGATTTGAGGGTCAAACTTACAAAGATTCCCATAATTATAAAAGATATTACATTAAGTAAAGATATTTGAATATCAAATGTGATGTATTTTATTGATCTGAAATAAAGTTTAAATTTAAATCAAATGAGCCTTAAAATTGTATTTTTTCATTTTTTGTTGTTTCCTAAATCGCTTCAAGGGTTGATGTACCTTGAAATATTTTTAGAACTACAAGGGTGCCATGACTAAAAAAGTTTGAGAACCACTGGGTTAGAACAAGCATAAAATATGTTGTAGTCCAGTCCTTGATCATGTAAAATCTTATTTTAAAACTTAATATGAAACATCGAATTTTCCTCTATCAAGTTTTTCAACTATCTGTTTGGAATCTTCACTGGAAGGCTCTGTTTGGTAGCACTCTTTATATTTAGAGGATTTTATCATTTTTTTTATAAACCAATAACCTCTAACAGAAAATATTTGAAAACAATGAAAGTATCAATGATATCAACAGTCAATAGAAAACACTAAAAAAGCTATCTTGAGGACTTTAATTTATTAAAATATTGATATTCAGTCTCATTGTGTTGTACCAATAAAAAAACTAGTGTAAGAATTATACTAGATTTTATTTTAAAAAAATATTTGTCCTGTTCTTTTCACAAGATATCTAATAATTAGAATAAAACTATAATTTATTATAATAAAACTATGAATCATTCTTCAAATTCCAATATTTCGTAAAAATCTCCCATCCTAACAGCAACTCCTTTTTCAGATTTAATTTCTTTAGGCATATCTGAATTGTCGGCTTGAAATGAATCTTCGCCTTTAAGTATTTTAATTCTCTCCTCTATTTGGAACTTTGAATACTCAGCTTTTTCGATATCATCCTCTTTTGTCCTCTTCTCTTCCTCAAGTCTTTTTATAGTGTCATCAGCAGTTTGTAGCATTATTATGGAATCAGGATGAGCAATTCTTTTTACATAATATTCTCCAGTGTGCACTATTCTGCCTTTCATGTAGATATTTTTACCTAACGGAATAACTGCTTCGTGCTCGGGATAAGTTTTAAGTGTTTGTAAATTAGTTATTAAAGAGTCTATGGTTTCTTGTTCCTTGGTTAAGGTCTGGATTGTTTTATCAAATTTACTTATGTCTTCTCCTAAATGTTGGAGGAACGTGTCTCGTTCTTTAAGTATATCTGATGAACTTTTGGCCAT